CTTCTTCACAGACTTTACAGACGAACAACACAGAGATGACTACCAACGGATATCCATTCAGGCAAGGATCCTTCGACCCGGTGATTTCGGATGATACCGAATCCCTACTCATCCTGCCACATTAGCCTCTAGATTGCCAGATTTGGGTAGCCGGAAGTGAGTGGGTGGTGATGAGGTCATTAACTCAACCACTGTGCTTGCATTTTGGATTCTTGTTACCGAAGCACGGCACACATCACTGCCAAACAAGTACAGTGAGAGAGCAAGAGCAAATTGTTTTCCTGCGTGCTTCATAGTGAGCACATTGAACAGAGTCAGATAAACTAAGCGTCAAGGCTTGTATATTGATTTCGAGATGCCTAAGGATGTCGGCGTCGGATGTCACGCAAATGTTGTTTGGAAAACCGATGTAGGACGAACGGAGTAATCATTCCTAAGTGCTGGGACTACAAGGAGAGTGTTATTAATGGAGTAGGATGAGGAGGAGGAAAAAATATGTAAAAGAAAATAATCGAGGCGTCAGCAAGGGTCTGTTTTCGCTTACTCGCTCGGTTGTTTGCAGCAAGTAATGCGACCCGGACGAGGGGACTACCCGGCGGTCGATTTAGCATGAGTTTATTTGTAAATGCGCAATTCATGGTTGTGCGTGGGGTGGGATACTACCAAGACGCCCACATCGAGACAGGATGACGATTATTGTCCTCAACCAAAGCCTTTGTCTCACAAACCTGACCGCAAGACAGCGGTGTTCAGCGGGAAATGCAAGTCCAGTTCAATTTTAACAGAACAAGTCACCACATATGTTCCGTCTCTCAACCTAATGGACCAGGAAACTGTGTTCGTCAGACCTCTAACCGTTGACCAACATGATGCAAGTGACCGCGAATTTCGCGGGGATGTCTCCACAGGATGGCCTACATAGGCCACTACATAGAAGCAAATAATTTTCAGCTACCTATTCCAGTCAACGAGATGCGTGAACTCCTCCTGCGATGCACATTGAATGTGCAACTACTGTTCAATGGCATGTTCAACCGTCAAATTAACGGCGTTGCCATGGGCTCACCACTGGGCCCAATGCTAGCCGACATTTTCATGAGTAAACTTGAAAATGGCCCCTTAAAGGCTAACATGGAAAAAATGCAGCATTACTGCCGATATGTTGACGACGTCTTCGCCGCTGTTAACAACAAAAAAGACGAATTGGAATCACTCCAACAAGAGTTCAATAAGGACCACGCTGCCATTCAATTCACTTCGGAAGGAGAAACCGACAACTTCTTCCACTTCCTAGATGTAGGCCTTGGACGATGTCACGATGGTACACTGAAACGATCGGTGTACAGAAAACCTGCTTGGTCAGTCAATAGATTAACTTAAGCAGCTTCGTGCCACTAAAGCAGAAGCGGAACCTGATCCGCAGCCTAACTAACAGAGCGAAGAAAATATGCTCTGATGATGCACTGGAACGAGAATTTCGAACTCACCAACGTCCTGAGAGACAATGGATTCCCCGACAAATTTATTGCAAAACATTTGAACAGGGAGGAAGAAAACACCATCACAGCCAAAGCTGGAAGGAAACCAGTCTACATTAACCTCCCGTTTAAGGGAGATATACCGGCCGATCTACTGAACAGAAGACTTTCCACCAGTCTGAACAAAGTTTTCCCGGCCGCAAAACTCCGAACCTGGTTCACCAGCAATCGTTTGTGCCCCTTTAATCTCAAGGATAGAGTGCCGGTCCACGCCCAAAATATGTTAGTTTACTCATTCTCTTGCTGCTGTGCAGCGGAATACATCGGACGCACGACTAGGCAACTCAGCCAAAGAATGAAGGAACACAGCCCACCCTGGCTAGCTTCTGGAACTAGGAGGACGATAACCAGCTCCGTAGTACAACATTTAGCTGACACTGCACACAACGTGATACCCGGCCAAAGTTTCCGCGTTGTTTACAAGGCGCCGGCTAACCAACCCAGAGCAGTACAGCAGCGCAAAATTGCAGTGGCTGAAGCTATCGCTATACGACATCGCGACCCGATCCTTTGTCGGCAAAAACGCTTTGTTCGTATGTTGTACTTACCATGGTCCAACTCACCTCCCCTCACACATGCACCGTGTGCTGAACCCACAACTACAACACCCCCCGAACTGACTAGTTCAAGTCCTCCTATTGGCGACCTGAACTAATGGTTCTTTGATAGGTAGCCAATTTCATCTCACTCGATTCCCTGTCCATTTACACCATACTCATTCAAATATGTTAAATACCGCTCTCTTAACCTTTGCAATTGTATGACTTGAAAAGACCTTGCCGAAAACATGTTCGTCAACCCATCTGTGTTCTCGTTATAGATGGGAATTTTCGGAATATATGAGTTTCCTACTTGACTACCAAGAGAACCTGTTCTCGGGATTTCTTCCTTCCTGATTTACAAAATTCGTGGGAATCACTCTAGTAATCTTTTTATTAGGCAATTTCAGCAACCCAAGTGAGCTGCGATCAAAAAATACATGGGACAGCTTTTTTTCACTGAGTTTAATCCAACCGAATCCCTCGTCTACATTGGAACACTTTTGTGTTTGGTTTGTGGTTGTTGCGCCGGACGCACATATATTTTGGCATCCAACTATTTTCGTATTGCCCCAAAATATGATTAGACTACTTAGTTCCGACTTAAACTATGAACGTTTTTGGCGAATCACGCCCTATTGAGACTCGTAGAGATGCAGAAACTGGAGTTACGTAAAAGCTGTAGCTCTCACTAAAGATTAATTTAACCATGAGTTGAGTGAACAACGTCGGGGCTCGGTCAAAACAGCGCTTGTATCGGCGAATGTGCACTCTCCTCCGTAGCCTTTAGGAGCTCAACCTCCATTAGGGTGACTTGCACAAAAGCGGAACTGTGGAATGTCGCTTTGTATTTTCTAACTGTCAAGCACTCCAACCGCAATGGGCGGCGATAAAATAAGTAGACATTCACTAGAATTTGAGAATGCCCTGTTGGATTCATTGGTTTGTCAGATGATCGGTCGTTGCAAATAGTCCACTTTTTAGCCTTCACTGATCAATCACCAAAATATCTAACCCATTCAATCTGATTTTAATATCGTTACCGCATGACCCAAAAAACCTTTCTCCTTCTAGAATGGCGAAAACCGTATTTTGAATTAGCTGACTACATTCTAGGGACTTTCAGTCACTATTTGGTTCATTATTTAACGTGAATTAGAAAAACGACCGTCAACAAATGTATGTCGTAGCTTGGAAATAAAGTTGATGATGTGGCTAATGAGGTTGGAAAATAAAATGAATCCAAAGCGGTGACCCGACCAATGTTTTGCGCCAATTTCGAACAGTTTACACATCCACGCATTCAAATCCAAACGTGAAAAATAAAAAAAAACCTTCAGTTTATTTTTCATCTTCCACAGGTTTCAACCCGACCACTTTGTTAAAAAAACCGATTGCTCGAGATAGTGGTACACACGTTGAAACAGTGCTACAACTGTCACAGATGTGTACACAGCACATCTATGTGCTTCCTTTCAACCTAGTGTTACTCTTAACCCATTATCTGTCTTTCGTGATACGTAAACGATTCGCTACTCGTACCCTTAATGTGACTACTGAAATACAACCTGGTCCCTTCATTGAGAATGCGGTCGATTTTAACCGAGTGCAACGAAAGTGGGCTTCCGCAAGTTCTCGTTAGTCAGCTTTTAACCATGTGCATGGAGTCACCCAGAGATCTTTCTGTGCGCTGCCTTGACTAAATTTTCTCAAGCACAACATCCAGTCGCATATTGAGGATTTGGCTAAAGTCACCTTTTTTACACACGAAATATGTATGGTCCACTATTACATATCAACCACTTTAGAAAATATCTGATGCTTGTAAACTGTGAATTTATTCTAGAATTCTTCCACTCGTACCGCATAGTTGTATTAGCTACACCAACGATGCAGACTAGAGTTCAGGCCTACTTTACTGTATACATTTAGATATTTTGGATACAAGGTTCGTCGCAAGCGAAATGAATTAGAGCGTCGTTACCTACCATAAGATAGTATAGCAGCTCGATTGATTTACTGGTCTCCGATCATCCCACGGGGTTTTTCCATTGAATCATTGCGCGTATTCAATGTGGAATCATCTCACTTCATCGATACCAGTCACCAAGACAAGCAACATCGGCCCCCCGGCAACCGATGTCCTTTCGAATTCTATCGCGTAGAACTAATAACATGCGGAGTTGTCAAGTCATGAAACTACATTGATTTTATTCATCGGCACCTACCATCTCGTGCTTTTCCTTCAAATAAGATCGAGTTTTGTACAACTCTGGAATAGTGATCGATTATGATAACTTTGAGGATGATTTCAGGAACCTTGTTCATTTGGTCAAATACGATCTTTCATAAAACAGACACCCTTAGGAGTGCTGTATGTGTTATTTAAATGGAACGCACAATGATACCGAATGTTCTACGTACCAATACTACATAATTTTTTCCTTGGATGCCGGAAACCTTGTCGTAAACACGGATGGCTCGGTTACCAAGCAGAAGCAGTTAAATACATTTCCTTACCAGGAAGTTTGATTGTCTTGCAGCATGGGTCATCTAGGAGCATTCCAGCGTTGCTGTACGGCGACACACTCTTCGTATATGAAATTTCACCCGAAAAAGCTCCAACTATGCACAAGAGGTTGCCAGACTATCACGGAACGAGAACTAATTGCGGCTCTAGAAGTGGATCCTATTTCCTAGGTCGATACTGCGATGCCCAGGGTCAGAACTCGTGCTACCTCCCCACTTATTGGACAGCGATCTAGTGATTAATAAGTGGAGCAGTGGGAGCTGCGATCAAACCAGTGAGGTCATCGGCGCTGCCTGAGGTGCCAAAGCCATTCTACTTGTACTTTGAAAACCGCATGGTTGGTGGATTACTTTGAAGAGACTCCAATGGAATGTGAGCCTATTGGATTTTAGAATGTACGGGCAAGGTGGTGTTCTCCGTATCCCGACCGAAACGACCAGGTTAGTTGCCCAGTGTGTGGGCCGAGCTGTCGACTGTTTTGATTTCATACTACTGTCTGCGATCAAGTAGCGAAAACTATCAGGCCAAATACCCGAAAATGGTTGTCCGGTGCCTTTTCACTAGCTTTGTCCGTGAAGAATTGAGTAATCGAAATAGTTCATTGCGTGACTCCCGGTTCCCTCACTATGTCCCCACCAACGATGATTACGAGGATGGTATATGGAACCAATGTACCTTGGTGAGCACTTCTCAGTTAAAAGGCTGAAACACAACTTGTCCGTTGCATCATTAAAACGATAATCAGGAGTGCGTGTGCCGGGAAAATGTTCCAAGTCCCCCAAGTTTATGATACGGAATTGCTCCGACAAGCCAGTCGACCACTATTCGTGTGCAAAACGCACTGTACTGCCAAGCGATCAACGTACAAAATGTAAAAAATCAAGGTGTTCTCCGAAGTCCCTTAGACTCTGAAGCCGACCCGTTTGAAATGACCCCGCGAGCTGAACGAAAATGTAATCCAGTTCTATGATAAAGTCACCTCATATAACTACTTTTCTGTAGTAATAACTCGCTGGTTTTCATGGCCAGTTTTTCCGATGTTCATTAGCAACAGTCAGGGAAATTCTCCTCAGTTTGGAACCCGCAAACTCTCTCCATATAAATGGAGAAGAGGCACACAAACGAACAAACCTTCCAGTTGCTTGCTCACCGAGCACTGAAGGAATGCTGACTGAAGACTTAGGTAGTTAGTTCTTGCTCGTTTCCCCCTGGAGTAAAAGTCATTTTTAATTACGTCCTCGACCTACTTCTTCTTTCAACTTTTCACTTTTCACTCAAAGCTCAAGGGTGGTAGTTTATTGTGATAAGAGCGATTCTTAAATCTCTCCAAAAGTACACATAAGCGAAGCATCACACGTAAGGTACAGAATCGCTAGTTAGACATTTGGACTTCATTCTCTTCTATCGGAAGACAATGGTACAGTCTCGCCAGCAGTCGTAACTGTCGTATTGAAAATCATTTAACGGAATGCGGCAAAGCGGTTACACGTTTAATTCTTGAAATCGCCTGTTTTTAGACTTCTGAACACATACCACAAGCCTATGTATTTAGCTGCATAAAAGACATGTCCGGAAAAAGACATCATAAGCATCACAAAGACTTTGTTCCGTGTACTTCGCTGGAGTCAGTTGTATGCAAAGTGGAATGCCCGATTGGTTTTTCCTAAACCGTGCATTCATGAAGATTTTAAAAACACCAAATATCGTTCACTTTTAGAAACGAACGAAATTGATTAGACATTTCTTTGTATCATTTAAAGGGAAATACACTCAAGTCTTTGGTAATTTCTTTCGGTAATGTGCACAGCATCAAAAATGGGCAAGGTTTCCAGATTGTGCTAGTTCGGTGAGCTAGAATACCGAAGAATCGAGTTACGCGAAATCCTAGTACAGTGCGCATTGCGAGGAGATTCGTCTATCACAGAGTCTGCTGAAATTTGTAGGCACCGATAACAAGCAACTGCAAGATATTAAAGTATCAAGACGAGACGAGAAGTCTTATCTGCCCAACGCTGACCAATTTTCAGATGGACGCTTTAATAGGCTTGTAAAAGGGAACAAATACGTACAAAAATATTTCTGGACTAGGTCGATTAGTCATGCGTGAGTAGTGGATTCGAGCCAAAGTGGCTAGTACGGACAGCATCTCCAAAAGTCCTAACCTAGAATACAAAGGATAAGTACTGAGGAGAAGCGATTTTGAAGTCCTTATAGACAGGCGTTCTTGAGCAAGAAGGCACGACAGGGATCATTCAGGAGCGATTGGGAAGACTGGCCCAGAATTTAAGTGGTGAGAAGGCCAGTGAAGGACTGTATCCGGAAAAGTTAACGACACTGAAAAGAATTGCGGAGTTTGTGTCCCGAAAGACTATCGAGTTGGGATTCAGATGAAGTTCCGGCGAAAGCCAAATGAAAATGTGTCTATTTGTCGAATTACTGGACAATGTTTGACATGTTAATCTATCTAGGTTCCCAAAAGGTGATAACCGGGGACGAATACTGTTTGAACACACGATGACTTATCAATCGGTTCCAAACCTTTTCCAATTGATTGAAAACTATTCGAACACGTTCGGTAATAGCAGAATAGAATTCAACAGCCCATAAAATTCTACTGCAAACAGCACATCCTCTTATTTACGAGTCAATTATATAAAATAACGTTTCTAGCTCGTACCTGTTTACTGCACTCCCCTAAATCATCCGTGAACGAAACTGTGGCAGCTAAACCATTGTGCGGCAAGTACGCGGTTTTGACAGCTGATGATGGGCACGATAGTGGCTAGATTGAAAGCGATGATTGCGGAAAAGGAAATATTTAGAACAATCAGTCGTTCTGTTGAAATCATGTGAACCCGACAAGGCATATCACAGGAAAAACCGCTTGGAGGCGATAGAGATAACCATTTCAGGAAATTTTGGAACACAATCGGTGGATTTATTGCTGGGTAACGTCCCACATCTAACACGAGCGTCAGGTCCTGATTAGGCTGCAAGATAGAAGGGCCAGTCAGCAAGAAGTATTCGTACTAACAATCAGACAATCTTTATGTCCGCTGAGAGTTTCCTAGTTAGTGTGGGTGATCCAGTGTTAAGACCGATGGGTGTGAGTGAAGCTCACGGGAATTCGGACCGGATGTAGAGCCTGGTCCAGTTCACGCGAACTTTCCTCTTCAGCATCGTTTCCGATTCTTGTTGGCCTGTGCGGATGAGACCAAGGTGAAATGTTGCCCAGCGTTGAAACTCGCGACTGTTATTCAAACTTTTCGAAACGTTAACCTTAGGGTAGTTAGTACATTTCGCTTGCGCCTGGGTGTAAGCAATGGGATATCCCGTTGAAACAGGCCAACTCGGTGGGTAGAGCATAGGCCATCAACAGCAACTTAGTCAGCGCACATGTTTTTTTACAACGCTTGAGTTGTGGAAAGTCTGTGCAAAATGTGGAAAGAAGTATTGCATGGAGCGTTGGTCCCCATATGGTAGTCTGAAGTTCACTGGGACCGGGTTGAAGAATCGATAAGGCGTGAGACTGTTTTGAATGCAATGCTCGGGAAGAGCATCGACTTTACTTTCCAGTGTGTTATCTATAACACGAGGCGAGACCTTAATCAGTAGAAGGGAAGCACGTGATAGCACGAGACTAGAGGATGAGTTGAGAATTGAGAGCCGTCGGGGACGGGCAGAATTTGAGTTGCGGTGTTCGAGTGTACGAAAGCGGATATTTGACACAGAGATCGATGGTCAGGGGTAATTTTTCATGCCTGTCTAGTGACAGCAAGGTGCACACTGGCGGGGCAATATTCGGCTGGGTAGGACTTCTTGATCGGAGCACTACCCAGAGTACTGGACTGAGAAATCCAACGCGTAAGACAAGAAGACATGAGCCTTCTTGGTTCCGACCGGTTTTCATATCATGAAGGCTCTGACTAACTGCAGTGCCGGATACCCACATTCGCCCTTCAGTTTAGTAAAAACAACATCAGAGGCAGTAAATGGGATTTTCTCAACAGAGGTTGCATGACTTCCTGGTCTCAGCTCGACCACCCACCCTCATTTGGAATAAACGGGTTGCTGAAGGGCGATTTGCACGTATATATATATAT